ATCAGAAGGATATAGACTGGTTGGAGCGAGTCCAGAGGAGGCCACAAAGATGCTCAGAGGGCTGGAGCACCTCTGCTATGGGGACAGGCTGAGAGAGTTGGGCTTGTTCAGCCTGGAGAAGAGAAGGCTCCAGGGAGACCTTATGGCACTTTCCAGTACCTGAAGGGGCCTTCAGGTGGCTGGGGGGGACTTTTTACAAGGGCCTGTAGTAACAGGACAAGGGGTAACGAGTTTAAATTGAAAGCAGGAGGTTTAGATTGGATATCAGGAAGAAGTTCTTCCCGGAGAGGGTGGTGAGGCACTGGAACAGGTTGCCCAGAGAAGCTGTGGATGCCCCATCCCTGGAAGTGTTCAAGGCCAGGCTGGATGAGGCTTTGAGCAACCTGGTCTAGTGGAAGGTGTCCCTGCCCATGGCAGGGGGGGTGGAACTAGATGGTCTTTAAGGTCCCTTCCAACCCAAACCATCCTGTGATTCCATTATATGATTCTATGAGCACTGTGCACCTAGACAGATAAGATTCAGTAGTGTGGAAATTTTAGTGTTTAAATTTTGAACTTAGATACTAAAGATTTGTTAAATTCCCGAGTCCTCCTATGAATCTAGCTTGAGGTGTCTGAAGTCAACACACTGAGACATAAGCTTAGTTTTCTGATTATCTACAAGTCAGTTTCAACTTTTTTATTTTTTTCTGCTTGTATTTCTCTTTAATAGATGTGTTCCTATTGTTACCATCCTAGTTTATATGGAGTGCCTCATCCAGAACCTGTAGGATTCTGTACTGTATGTGCAGTGGAGAAAGAGAACACTTGGTTTTAGCAAATGAGTATTCGGGGTATGGCTTTAATTTCACTTGTGTTTGTATCGATTATTCCAGGAGTGCTGCATTGCTGTACCTCTGTCTCAGATTGTTTTTATTGAAGAGCAAGCAGCTGGGATAGGAAAAAGGTAAGGTGATAGCCATTGTCTTTTTCAGATGGATGGTTTGCCCGTGTATGTTTTGTGAGGTACCCAGGATTATGTATGGTTTCATGGTAGGTTCCGTTTGCAATCCAAGTGTCCAGGTTGACAGTCACAAGGACATGATTCCTCACTTGAGATCATATGTGTAAGAGAGTCATGGCCAAGCAGTGTTTGATGTGATTAGTTAAATAACTCTATTGTAATTAATTACTAAACAAGAATGTGTTCTAACTTGCCATTTTCATTTGATAGTCATAAATTACAACAGTGATCAGGATCTAAATTTGAGAGCTAATTTTAGTCTTTAGTGCCACAGTACTTGTTGGGGATAGAAACTCTGTCAGATCCCGTATTATATAACCTTTTATGACCATATGATTTTGAGCATGGAAATGCTAGCAACGGTTAGAGGAACCTCAAGTGTTTCCACTCAATTGAATAACTAATTCAGTATGGAATGTGTATAAAGAAATTCCACAAGCAAAAGAGAAAGAAATATTAACTGGAGAAGTACAGATGTAGTAGACGTGTTTTCGGCCTACAGCCAGGTACGGTAATAGGCTGGGGGCATCCAGAAGGAATCAGGTAATTCCCTAATGCTGGAGAAGTCAGTAAAGACCCATGAAAAAAGGTATCAGTAAAATGAAATGGGAATGGTGGAGTTGCAGTCATGCTGTGATAGCAGTCTGTTGTGTTCCTAAACTAATGATATCTCAGGGTTTGTTTTGGTGGTAATTGTCCTTTTCAACTGTGATTTCCATACATGTTACCTTTGAATGTTGGTTTTGGACAAATTCACATACAGCGTTCACAAGTGACATATACAAATGGGATAGATTAAGCATAATATGGGGACCTTTTGTTTTCCTGTGACAGAGTGTATTTTGGCAGCAGTTATTGCATGTCAAAAGCCAAATCAAAGGACTAGCTGATGATCAGTTTTCATCTCAACTTAGGTTTGTCAGAAGTTATTGCTTGAAATGGTAAAATTTGTTATGTTTATTTCTTAAGAACTGATGGTGGGTACATTTTAAGTCTGTGAGATGTTGCTGTTTTAGGGGTTTATAGTAGTTTTTATGCAGTATAATATTTAGTTAAAATACTTAAATGATGCAGAAAAGTAAAGCATTATTTGATGTGCTTTAGCTCTTATGTAAGATAATAGAGGTTTTGATTTAATGTGTGATTTAATTGATTTAATTCACATTTAACTGTGAATGTAGAAATACTTCTTTTAAAGCTGTTACAGAAAGCTGCCTCTACTCTTTCCTTTAACTTTTTATTAGTGCCAAAATAGTAGTACATCTTCATCCGGCTTCTTCAAACAAAGAGCCTGGTCCATTCCAAAGCAGCAAATATTCCTACATCAAACTTTCTTTCAGAGAACATGGGCAGATCGAGGTAAGTTTTTTACTATGCAAGCACAGCACATCAGGTCTTTGAATGTGCTTTTCTCCTCTTGCTGCGTTAGTGATAGTTTTCCGTGATCTTTCCATGTTTACTTTTGAGGTGGAGCTTTTTCAATACATCCTTTTTGGAGACAAACACTGTGAGCCTTCAGGGTTCTATACTTCGGTTAAATAATGCAAATAGAGTTCCAAACACGTCAAGAGACATTATTAGGCTTTGTCCTTATTTTAGTAGTTTTTAATATAACCTTATACTTGCTTTTTTAATCTTTTAAATTAAACAGAGGATTTTCCACAATGACGTCTCTGAAACCTGTTAAAACTTTAACAGAGTAAAAGATGTTTCTTTGTTGTTAACCCTCTACTGAACAGGAATCAAGCAACTTACTCCTAATCCTCTCTCTGATTTTATTGCTGAACACTTTTTGTTGCCTCAGAGCTGAACTTTGTTTCATTTTATGGTTTATAAATCTTTTTTTTTTTTTTTATCTACCCCAAATCTCAATGACTTTAAAGATTCTTAAAAAAAGTAATATATTTTTAAAAGAAGACATGCTAAAAACTAAATAAATTCCACTCTGTAAAGAAATTCCACAGCATAAGATCCTCACTTGAAGAGATCGAGAACTTTAACTTTGAACGATGAAAAAAGCAGTAGCCATTCACTGCAGAGAAACAGATTTTCAACTTGAGTTAGTTATAAACATCTTTTAAATTCATGTGCTTCATTAGACTCATGTTCAGTTCTTTGTGAGCAGTTTTCAGCTCCGGATGAGTGCAGATTTGTGCCTAGTTATAATTCTGTAAGTGTTTTGCCTAATTGTAACCTTATTTATATTAATTTTCATGTCCGAAAATCAAACTTCCGATGCTTACTGGTTACCTAGCACATCAGTTACACTCCAGATCTGTTCTTTATGACTTCAGAATGCTTTCCTGTGGACTCTGAACAGTCATAAGAATGGACTAAATTTTGTTTCTGGATTTTGGTCAGTGGGATACACTTGCTGTTCATTAATTAACTAATGCCACCTTCTGGTATTAGCAAAAAACAAGTAAGTGTAATTGATCTGTGTGGTTGCCTTTATATTGTTGAATCAACAGATAATGCTAACTGGATTGTTCAACTTTCCTTCCATTTAAAAGCATGCCTTTGAGCAAACCTCAACATTTTTAACTTCAGCGTGGTTTGGGACATTCTGAATATCTGAAAAAAATACTCATGCAAGTTTAACTAGTAACTACATGGCTCCTCCTCTAATGTGTTTATTTCTGAAGATTCACCATTAAGAATTTCCAGATCATGAATGTTGCGCTGTGGATGTGTAGGTATTACCATGCTTTGTCTTACAGTGAAGTTTATTTTATCTGCCACCACGATGCTAAAAATACCCAGAGGTACCCTGCACAGTACCTGAAGCATCTGTTGTCACTCTTTAACGTTCGCAGTTCTACAGACGGTTATCAGAAGAAATCACCCAAAGGAGGTGGGAGAGCATGCCTACTGGTCAGACCATTCAGGTTAACAAGGATCCACAGGTATGTGCAGAGCTTCCAAGCAGAATCTGCATGTAACTTCTTGTTTCCACTTCTTGCTGCCCCCGTATAGTGCCTCTGGCCTGCCTCCCTAACCAACAGCGTGCGCACATGTGGGAATTCAGCTCGGCTTTGCCTGTTTCTTCACTGATATAGACTGGGTTTCTCTTTTGAAGATTTCACCTGATGTAGGACACTGTGGCCTCTCTCCCTTGAGTGTGTTTAGACTAGAATAGTTGATAATGAGCTGTGGGCTTTTTTAGATAGTCAGACCCACACACACAAAATTATGCAAATATTATATATATATTTGCAATATTATATATATATCTGCATCTGATTTTATTCAGCATGAGAGATTCAATGAAGGTGAAATATTTTTGGTCTTGACTATGATTTCTGTTTTATTTTTTGTGCCTGGAAGTCAAATATATAACATGTAACTTTTATATGTCTCTTCAGAACCTACATATGTTTGATTTAAATGTAGATTCTAAATGGACAGTTGTTACGGAGAATCTCTTTGTCCCTGCCCGTGGCAGGGGGGTTGGAACTAGATGGTCTTTAAGGTCCCTTCCAACCCAAACCATTCTATGGTTCTGTAATGTGTTAGATTGCCTTGTTTATCTGTCTGCATACTTCTAGGTTATAAATTCTGATGAACATGTACATGTTTCTATATATGAATATGTTTAGTGTATGAATACATTGAACGTATAATACTACGAATGAAATAGGATTATTTAAAGGCTGTTGAAAGTCAAATCACATATGTCTTCCTTTGCAAATGTAGTACTTCTAAACATAGTCGCGTTTGGACTAATGGGGAAGCCTGTACCCTGCATCAAGAATCACTTCATGAAAATGCCTTCCCCCTCGTTCTCAAGTCATAGCAGATCATCAACACCAGTTGCAGTCAGAGATTTGAGGGCTGGTACCCCCTGACACTTAGGGACCAGCCTTTCTAAAACACGTGCCATCAAATTAAAGGGCATTTTCCTTTTCCTGTTCACATCACCTCCATTCTGATACTTCTTAGCAAGGTAAATTAGACTGCACTTAGCATTGTGTTTCTGTGGCTGCATTTCTTCAGGCTAGATTTCTTGAGATAATCAAGCATTTCCACAGCTCTAGTATAGATGTTCACATGGACTTGGGAGGCTTTAATGCAAATGACCTAGAATGCTCAGTCTGGATCAGGCTATTAAGCATCTTCTTATTAATAACCTCAATATAATAATCTTATCTGTCTACTACAGCAAATTCATACATGCTTTATGCTTTCTGTTTATATTTTTACACTGGTTAATAAAATACTTTCAAGAAATATATGAAACATTGTATGCAAGATATCAGCTCTGGAGGAATGTTTCCTGTCTTCTAATGTAAAGTTTTTCACAGTGAAGCGGATGAGAAAACTTAGGATTTCCTATTTTCATTCCTTTTATTATTTTCTTTTGCAGGCAGGAAGAATAAGGGCTGTAGGAATTGTAGGGATCGAAAGGAAATTAGAGGAAAAAAGAAAAGAGACTGACAAAAACATTTCCGAGGTAAATACTACTGAAGTTTGAAGGTCAACCACCTGTCTGAGCCATTTACACTCATTCACACTTTCTTTTAGGGGCAGCTGAGACTATTTATTATTTTTGTTGAGAAATCTGAATTGATTAAAAGTGTATAATTTCCAGTTATTTACTTTGTTTATCTGGTTTTCCAATGTGTGTCAAGGTACTTCATTTAAACAGTTCCTTTCAGGAAGACTGTTCTTTGAAACTAACGGTGTGTATTTATAAAACTAATTTGGGTAGAATTAGAAATCTGTGTTCAGTGACTTTTCATCAGGGGAAGCAGAACACAGAGACATCTGCAGAAAGAGACTGGTAGAAGTTTGGGGGTTTTTTCCTTCCTTTTTTTTCCCAGCTAGTTTTGGTTTCAATTACAAATTTAATATGTATTAGGAATATGCCGATCCAAGTGTCTGCACATAACTGTGTTGAAGTTAGGTTTTCATCTTAGAAATATTCTGGTTTAAAATGTTAGCCTTAGGGTTATAATCACAGTAAAACGTTCTGCAGTCCGGATGTCGGCAAGATGTTACAAGGATCTGTGCGAAATAACCTGGGCCAGTTGGAAACCTTCCTTTTCCCCAGAAGCAGCACATTAGTTGAATTCCAGATATCAATACTGATGGACAACAGAGGCAATTAATTTCTTCCTATAGAGGTGGGATTAATATTCTCAAAAATAGTCTGGTTCTGTCTTGGGAGTGGAGATTAATACGGAAGTGCTCATAAGCTACATGTAACAGTCGTTCTTGTGGCAAAACTTTATGGGATTCAGTGTGCCACAGTAAAAAAGCATTCACTGCTCTGACATGTAGGAAAATTACAGTACCTGTGCAGGCCGCATGCTGCTTCAGATACTGGTAGTGTTAAACTTTCTTTCTTTTCTGCATCTGAGGAACGTAATGAATGAAGTTCTGTGTGTAGTTCAGAAGGTATTGTGGCTACATGCGTGTGCGTGTGTATACTTCCAAGGGTATTGTCTGCTTATTTTTTCCTTTAGTAGCTTTGTCGGAGAGTAAAATCAATCCATTTATACGTGTTGTATGAGCGGAGGAAAACCAGGACTTGTAAAATCCTGCTTTCCTCCAGCTTTAAATGTTATAAATGACTTAATTTTAAAAGTGGTGCCCTGGCTTCCAGGAAAAGGCTTCCTGCATCTGCTGTTCACTGCTGATAAGAATCCAGTTCTTTAGCCTTTTGTTTATCTGAGGAAGTTCCTGTTAGGTGTGTGCACATTCCCCTTTGTTTCCAGGCCTGCCCTCGGTGAGTCAGTCAGAGGAGGAGTTAGACACAGCATACTGTTTATTTAGCTAAATCAAGGGTTCTTTTGATGAATGATGTTTTCATGCAGGTTATAGAGATTAGAAACAAGCTGGGAAAAGCCTTGTCAGAAAATGTTTTTGTTGATATCACATACAGATACAGTAGAAGAAGGGCTTTGGTTTAGAGAGGAGATTGGGAAATCTATTGTAAATTACTCAGTTTGGCAGATTAGGATGTAAGAAGAAATATTCCAAAGAGAAGCTTTTGGTCTGATAGTGGTAGATTATTGTTACTCGGTGGTATTTTTAATTTTCTCCCCTTGGATCTTGCTTTGTCCCACTTAATTTTGGATGCCCAACTGAGGTACCAAGTGTTAAGAGGCTAGACTTCTCCCATCAGTGGAGAACTGCTGGCACCATTAGGAGGCATTCAGATGAAAAGCGAGCCCTGTCCCTTCCTGGAGGCACCTTTATCTTCTCCATATATTGAATCTCAGGCCAATAAGCTTCTAAGTAAGGCACCTAAATGTAGATGGGAAGAATCGGGTTTTCCTGCAGAGATTCTGCAAAAATGGGTCTTTCTTGGGTAGGATTTGTCAGAATAAATTAGGAATTACTAAAACTTTCAGCCTACCTTTGGCTTTTTTTAAAAGTATGTTCTGTTTAAGCCTAAAAATGCCCTTTGTGGGTTCTTGGAGAATTGTTGTATTAGAGGCGGTAGCAGTTTACTAAACTTAAGAGGCTTGGTATAATCGTGGTCCTCTGACGACTGTCCCGTTTATTGCATACTTCCTTTTGTGGGAACAAAAAAGAGGTTTCTTAGTCTAGAAAAAAAAAAGAATTGTTTTGTACAAATAATTTTTTCCCTTGCCCTAGCAGGTGTGTTGGTTTTTAGGTCCAAGAACTAGAGTTTTCAGAGGATGCTTTTTATCCAGTTTTTATCTTGATTATTTCAGTCTGATCATTTGACTCGTGGATTGTTATTCATTCTGCAACTGTTTTTTATTTATTATGTTAGCATCACTGTTCCTCTGTGTGTGTGACACTTAAGTGAAGAGACGTTGCCACACATTTTCCGAGGTTTTGTATCTTCAGTTATGCATACGTGTGAAAGCATATACCCTCTTCCATGCTCTTTTGAAATGACCTAACATCTACTGATTACAGTTGCCTTAGCAGGAGGAGTACTTCTGTAGCTTTAAGGCTGGCCAGAAACAATAGATCTCCTTGAGTGAGGATTAACTGTTGGAAGAAAACCTCCCATCACCACCAAGAAACCTTTCCCCAGCTTTTAGGAGAGTATAATAAACTTGGACAGTTTAAGGGCCTGTAGTGACAGGACAAGGGGTAACGGGTTTAAATTGAAAGTGGGGAGGTTTAGATTGGATATCAGGAAGAAATTCTTCCCAGAGAGGGTGGTGAGGCACTGGAACAGGTTGCCCAGAGACTGTGGATGCCCTATCCCTGGAAGTGTTCAAGGCCAGGCTGGATGAGGCTTTGAGCAACCTGGTCTAGTGGAAGGTGTCCCTGCCCATGGCAGGGGAGTTGGAACTAGATGGTCTTTAAGGTCCCTTCCAACCCAAACCGTGCTGTGATTCTATGATCTTTCTGGGCCTCAGGATCTCATTGTTCCTTCCTATCGTAGGGACTTCATAAATCATATTGAACTAGTCTACACATACTAGAAAAGTGTGTGATTGATTCTTTTCTTCATTCTTTGTTGTTCATGGATTGTATAATTTTAAGACACGATACAAAACAGATATATCAACCAATAATGTCTTCTATTGTAACATACTCATCTAAAGGGATATCAGCCCTTCCCAATAGCTTGGATAGGCGGACAAAGGCAGCTGACTGCATCCCTGAAGCTGAGTGCTGTAATTGTACTGATCTGCAGTGTCTGCTTTTCATTTCAGGCTTTTGAGGATCTTAGCAAGCTGATGGAGAAGGTATGGCATGTGTCACTTACCCGAGCAGACTGATGCTTGTTTCATCGGTTCAAAGCACACTTTTCTCTGTTGGGCTGAAAGTTGACTTATCTGTGTGTCTTTCTTGATAGGCTAAGGAAATGGTGGAGTTATCCAAGTCAATAGCTAATAAGATTAAAGAAAAACAAGGTGACATCACTGAGGATGAGGTAAATGAGTTTTGTTTTTAAAGTCAACAGAAATGTTCCTATGCAAAGCAAAAAGCTCTCTGTTTAAAACATTTAATAAAGAACACTTCTGGTTGCGGTTTTTGTGTTTTAATTCTGCATAAAATAAAAGTGACTTACTTCTTTAGTGTTAGCTTTTCTATTGATCCCTTCTTAAAAGTTAAGATTTTACTGCCCTTGTGTAAATTTTTGTATTTTTGACCTCTGCTGGTCAAAAATAAGTTGTATTCAGTCTTGCCTTCTCTTTGCTAGTAATTGACTTTATTGGTAGTAAACTGAATGGTTTTATTCACTTGAACTGTCTTATAGTTATAAAATCAAAGACTTAAACCCCAGAATCATTCTCTAGCTGATGAACTTATTTATTTATTTATTGGTTTAGACTATCAGGTTCAAGTCCTACCTCCTGAGTATGGGTATAGCTAATCCAGTGACTAGGGAAACATACGGATCTGGCACACATTACCACATGCAGCTGGCGAAGCAACTGGCTGGAATACTGCAGAACCCATTAGAGGTAAAGTACCTAATTTTGCACCAGCGTTTTCCGCGTGTTGCTGAATTTTGCTGTCAGTGTGTTTTGACTGTAGTATCGTGCCTCTTTTTAATGCCTCCAGATTTAGCAGCACAGCTTCATATTCAGTGTTTATGGAAGAAATATATTTCCTCTTTCTGAATAAGAAATTTTAAATATAAATAAGAATTTTTCTTTGGAGTAATGTCATCTCAACTTCGAGTTTGCAAGATATCGGCGATATTGAAAAAATCATAGTGGCAGTTATTCTTCTATTTGGACAGCCCTTCATTCATCCCTTGCTGCAGACTAATACCTGTTTAAAGAAAGAGTGAAACAACACTGACTTTGAAAATATAAGTAGTCAGTGTTTCTTAAAAATCGGATATTTTTCAAATATAGCACAGAGTTATTTACGTAGATAACCTCCATTAGAAATATCGAATAATTTAAATTTATCTGAAGCTATTACATAATTCAGGGTTCTCACCAAAAAAGTTAGATTTCCTGTTGCAACTCTTAAGGCTATGTGTCTACTAAAAACCATGCACATGACAGTATTTTTGTGGAAGCTGCGTGCTCCCTACTATGATCATAATGGAAAACCTGAGCATGTCTGAAAAGTAAAAATGAAAATTAATTGATAGATTTGATATATTGAAATTCCTTGTTCCTGTGATTTATTCTCTGCTTTAAAATTCAGAGTCTTTGGAGGTAGTATCAGTGTTTTGCATATTAAAAAGATTAGAGAAAGATAAAACAACTTGCCTCTAATGCTAGAAAGACATAGTATTGCCTGGGTAGTTTTTTTCATTAAAGCACATCATGTAGCTCCTCAGTTTTACCTCTTTTAATCAGTCAAAGGCAAACTGAGATTGTGTGTTTACTAGATCAATGCTGTTTCTCTTACCAGTCTTGTGCTTAACACAGGAGCGAGGAGGGATCATGTCACTTACAGAAGTGTACTGTCTGGTAAATCGTGCACGAGGATTAGAGGTGAGAAATTGGGTTTATTAAATATGAAATGTACTTCAGTGGTAAGGTAATTAAAGAAAAAGGGTTAAAGTGTTCCCTACCAATTGCTCCCTTTACCTGTCTAATAGCACGAAGTGATCAGCCCTTTATTAAAATTAGGGGATTTTACCTTTTTCCTTTCTCCATGTAATGTTTAAGTATCCTCTTAAAGTTGTCATATTGCTTTTCATAATGCCATATAAAAGGGAAAATCCATCCTTATTTGGAAAGAAAATTGAAAGGGCAGAGAATACTGAAGAATGGTGAATGTTCTGGTTTGGGGTTTTTACAAAATACATCAATTCTTTCTGTAAACAGGGCAAAAAGGATTATTATAGAACACGTAGTAAGGGAACAGAAAGGAGCATAGAAGCCAGGAAAGTAGACTGAACAATAGAAGGGAAGAAAAATAACAATGGTGTGTACCCTGGTGTGTTTTATAGCTGTAGTTACTAAAACCTGATTGTTTTGGTGTTACGCCATCTACTTGAAATGCAAGCTTTGAATAGGTATGTTCTACTATTTTAATAGTTGCTGTCACCAGAAGATTTAGTAAATGCTTGTAAGATGCTGGAGTCACTGAAATTACCACTAAGGTAAGAGCCTTACGGATGCATTTATAAAACGTGGCACTTGCAAGTCAGACCATGGTGCTTGGATGACACAGTATTTTACCTGCAGTACATCTTGGTTTTGGTTTTAAACAAAGTCATCCTTTGCTTAAAGGATGCTGTTGTATGCACCAACTTCCACTCTACTTTAAAACAGGATTTTTTTTAAGCCGTAGTTCACTCTGCTAGGAAGACAACAGTATTTTCACTTCCAGTACAGTTTTTTCAGACTGGGAAGAGTGTTTAATCCAGACATATGCCCTGGTCTTTTCAGCCTCTTCAGATTTTGAAGATGTTTTTATGTCCAGTTCATTTTACAGAACTTTTTGGTTTCCCCCCCCGTTGTAATGTGGTTATTGGTGTGCATGCATTTGAAATGTGACCGTAGGTGATTTGCACAGGGTTTTTTGTTACTTTGACTCTCTCTTTTGATTTTAGGCTTCGGATATTTGACAGTGGTGTGATGGTGATTGAACTCCAGTCTCATAATGAAGAGGAAATGGTAGCTTCTGCTTTAGAGACAGTGAGTGAAGTTCATTTCCTTCAGTGTTCTGACCGTACTGGGGAAATTTAAACATATTAGGTATAAAAACTTGAGGTACAGGATTTCCTTCTGAGGTTTTGAAATATAAAATATGCCGCTTCCAAATCTTCTAACAGTAATACTTAAATAGCACTTTTCATCTTCAAAGTGCTGTGCAGGCAATAATGTTAGTCATTGCTTTCTCCTTAAGGAATAAATTCTCTTTTCAAACTTCGTTAACCTCCAGCCTTCCTCGAAATCTTTTGTGCTGAAGGATGAAATTCATGGCATAGATGAAGCACTTCATTTGACAGAAGTGGACTTCAGACACTGTACACCATGTGCCTGAAGGCAGTGAAAGTAGCTCTTAAATGTTGATACAGGCAGGTTTTTTTGGTTTGGGTTTATTCCATAAAATAGCACATTGTACATGCAACATCTTGTGCTGGGTTTGTTGCTGCGAAGAGTGCTCAGTTGGAGAGTGGTGCGTATAGCTTCATCAGAAAGAAAAAACCAAACATGTAAATCGCTCAGCGTGGTAAACCTTTGTGGTCTTGCTACCTCTGGACTCTTTTAAAGTCCTGCTGTCCCGTTTTTTGATGCATTTTTCTGTGTCTTTTACAGTGGGATGTAATTTTTAGGTTTTCATAAAGTTGACTCGAGGCTGATTCAGTGTATTCAAAGTTAAACATCAAAGTTGTAGAGGATTTGGACTTGGGCAGTCAAGAAAAAGTAGAGCTATCACAGGCACCTCACTTGGTACATCAGGTAGACTCTTCAGTGGGTTTTGCACGATTGTTACCACATAGCTTTCTCTCAGGAAAAAGATTTTTAGATAAGTGAAATTTAGATAGCTGTCTAAAACTTTTCACCCTAAACTCTTGAAACTAAAATGCTTACATCTTTCAACATATGTTAATCCTTTCAGTTTATTTCTTGTATTTCAGAAATATACCCAAGCTTTAGGCTTTGTTTTTCCCTTATGTTATGTTAGTTTTCTAATTAATTTGTTGCCTTCAGCAAAAGTGCTTATCTCTTTGAAAGGAAAAAACCTTTTCTTGATAACAAATGAGGTCAGTCGCAAAAAAACAGCAGGTGGTGGATTTATTAATGGAGTGCCTTTTTTCTTTTAGTTTCATAGTATGAGACTTTGACTCCATAGAAAAATGTAAGGGAGAGGCTTTGAATGAGGAAGGCCAGCCCATAAGGGAAAAGGAAGGTGAGATCACACTTGTAGCCAAAAGCACCCTGTACTGATGTGTAATGTACACTAACGTGAAAGGTCTGAGAAGTGAAAGGAAGCCACAGGGTTGCAGACGGCAGAGAGAGGTGGCTGGTGAGGACGGGAAACGGCATGGAAGTCAAAGCAACCCAAAGTCACCCTTGATGAGAGCAGTGGTTTAGGAAGGAGGTACAATCGATCACCCATATGCATACTAGGTTGCATAGCTGACTTCCGTGACTCACATTTGATCACTTGACTTCACAGAATCTCAAATTACAACTAATTTAATCTGAGTTTCTGTAAACTGAGAGTGAAGCAGAACAGACCCCTCCCCACACAGTTATGTGAGAAGCAGGAAATGGCAACTACGTCTGGATTTACAAGTTTGCTTGAATCTGAAGCAAGGGAGAAATGGAAGAATTTGTAGGGTAATGAAACATGTTTATCTGGGAAATTCAACGTAGTAATAAGTCTAGACTTCATATCTAATATTTTAAGCATCCACCTGTCCAAGCTGTGTGAGAAGGTTTCATTTTAGCATGTATTAACTGGCATCGTTGAGACAACGGGGCCAAAGTTTTGAGTCCTAAGACTGAACCTACCTTTTGTGTCAAGTGAGTGTGATGGTGGCTTTTACTGATCCCTCTAGCATGCCATGATATAGGGAGGAGTACCAAGGTATGGGGTGTTTCTATAGGCAGTTAGGGGTATTTTAAATCCCATTAACCTCAAATTCGCCACTTCCGTCTGAGATGACAAAAGTCTAAAATGATGACTTGCCGTGAACAGGTCTTTTATTTTTTCATTGAGGCTGCACTATTTGCAGAATCACTTAGTGTAGTTGGGCTGTATAAATACTGATCGGGACAGTATACTGCTGTCTGAGCTATTCTAATTATTCCTCTCATTTTGTCCTAAGGCATCTTTTGAAAAAATTCCAAAGGAAGGGGTACCATGTGATTTTTTTTTTTTTTACAGATGTAACTCTTTTCTGTGTTCCTTTTTTTATACTTGGCAATTTTCCCAGGACACAGAAGAGGTATTTTTAGGGGGGTTATACTGATAATTATTTGTACTTTTTTAAAAATGCAAGCAAAGTAGTTGTCTTCACAAGGGCTTTGCTACCAATTTATCCCTTCACAAGGCCTGGCTTGGTTCAGTAGCTGAGAGAACCTCATTGTTGTTTTAATGCCATAGTTTGTTTATTTGGTTTTTGACAGGTATCTGAAAAGGGTTCTCTCACAGCTGACGAGTTTGCTAAGCTGGTGGGGATGTCTGTTCTCTTAGCCAAAGAAAGGTAAGTAATGATTGCTGTGTTTAATACCTTTGTTATCCTGATGTCTGCAAGTAATACAGCACATCATTTTTTGCTCTCTCTAGGTTGCTTCTTGCTGAAAAGATGGGGCATCTTTGCAGAGATGATTCAGTGGAAGGCTTGAGATTCTACCCAAATTTATTTCTGACACAAAGCTAATGTAGTTTGCATACAGTTTGTTAAGTAACAGTTGAACGAAAGAGCAGAGGGCAGAACTCTTCCAACAACTGACTTTATAATTTTGATTTTGTTAGTAACTGCAGCAGTGATGAACATTGCAATGCTTCACAGTTCTCAGGTATTTCAAGTGCTGAATCCGCTTACGTGGAACTGAAAGGAAATAGGAATCACTGAGTCGGAAGCCTGTTAATTGTCTCAAACTGGCTAGCTCATGTTTTAAGTTTCATTTGATCTGCTCTGCAGTTTCTCATTTCAAGAGAAGTCAGATGAAGACTCCCCACAAGTGAAAGTGGAGAGAATATCCCTGTAGTCTGTTACGAGGGTCGGCACCCAGAAGACAGGTTACTGCATAGTCCCATTTCAGTTTGTTTATGTCTAGAGCAACAAAGCAGACAGATGTATCCGTAGCGATAAGAAAAATTACTTTGTTGGGTACTGAGGTATAAGGAACAACCCAGTGTAGAACAACCCTTTCTCCCTGAATTCAGTTTTCTGAGAGATGATCTTGGGGTTCTGGTACTTGGAGACAGAAAGAACGGGCTGCAAGAGAGATCAACACACGTTACATGAATCTCAAAAACACAGTGTTTGTCTTGTCCTATCTTCTGCTAATATCTCCGATAGAAGCATTGATAGCACAGACTTCCTCCCTTCTCTTCTCTTTCCTTGCCATCTTCCTTCCTCTCTCATTATGTTGCATTTTGGGTGCCCTTTTGCTGTCCTCTCTTTACAGAGTGTATTAGCTGCCTGTCACCCACCCTACTCTGTGGTAGGGTGACAGGCGGCTAATACACTCTGTAAAGAGACTCTGTGCTTTAATGTGCTTGGTTTTTATCTTGTACTTCTAATGAAAGATCATTTGTTTGTTTCATCAGCCTGCTATCTCTTCTGGAGAGACAGTTCATTTGCTTATATCTCGTATGCGAAAATTAATGTGCTTTCAATATTGAAGGGAGGAGGAAGGTTATTACCCTGTGTTTAATAGTCATGAGGTATCATGTTGTTTGGTATTCCTCACCCTGTGTTCACACTGAATGCAATTGGATAGTCTCAGTTTTCATAACTCCAGTGGAGTTGTTACGTTACTTGAAGATCTGTTGTCATGATAATAACGGTAAGTGGATGTTTACCATCCACGTCACTTAAATTTTTGGCATTTTGAAGTGATCTGTTTTAATAAATAACAGAATTCATGCAAGGAATGGGCAAGGACAACACAGAGGTAACTGCATTGTGGTTGTAATGGCCAAATTGATGTTACAAAAAAAGGAGAAAAAGGCTTTTAAGAGCCTGAAAATGTTTTCAGAACTCTTTCAGTGTTACCATAGCTTAGACAAGGGTTAAGAGCCTGCCAATAAGGTGTTCATTGCAGAGATCCTTACAGTGATGATGCTTTTGGTTCGTAAGATGCTCATTTAGATTCAAAGAATTGTGTCCTCTTATCCTTGTCATGAGCAAACTTTTAGGCAGTGCTTTCTTTAGGGCAGTTTTCATCTGTTTCATGAAGATGCTGAAACTAATGTATTTGACACAGCTGAAGGAACCCTTTCCAGACCACTCTTACTGTGTTAACCGTCTAGTATCATCTCTTCAAGGGCCTTAAGGCTCGCTGCTTTTCTTCATCCTCCCCACAACCCACAGAGGAGATCTCTGCGAGGTACACCAAGCATCGCCCATTGAGGAGGGACTGAAAAGGGAGCAATTCAGAAGCAAAAAGCTGGTTTGTGCCAACTGTTTCTTTTGCCCACTACCCAAACCTGTCAAGGGAGCCCAGTGATTATGGGCCTGACCCTCTCCCCACAAGGGGGCATGTCTTCTGCAGAAAGCACAAAACCAGAAAGGAGATGCCAGGTGTAAACTCCCAGCCTCCTTCCTTCAGCCCTGAGCATTTCATGATTTTAATTAAGCAATAACAATACAGCCTGTTTAGAATGATGGTACCTTCTTGAGATTGTCTTTCCCAAGATTTTTCCTTGACTTTTTTTTTTTTTAAACCTACTGGGAAGAAATCTATCAGGTAAATTGTATAGCTGGTTTAGAATTTAAACATACATGTGAGAAAATGACTACTAGAAAGTAATAAAAATTAAAAGATTTTCTTAATTAGACTGTTCTGAGGGTTTTTTTCTTCCTAAATGTATTTAAAGAATACAGCTTTAAAATCTTTACACATCAAAATCTTGTGGTTCTGTGGGGCAGAAAAGCACATCATATTTTTGCTGTCTCATTTTATAGCTAAAAGGGTAAAAGATTGTTCTGATTTAAAATTAAAAGGCAGAATTAAATGTAATTAGAATGCCCTGGTTCTGTTGCTGAGTAGCACGTGACCCAGAATCGCAAAATGCAGAGTCTGAGCCAAGCATATATCCTGCACTAGCACTGGAAAGGTATTTGATGCATTGAAATGTGTTTTCCCAGCTGAAAGTCAACAGAGATCGTATATCTGATACCGTACGGAGAGCCAGCTTTTGGGCAAACAAATGGAGTGACATTACACAGGTGTGTGGTATCACTGTTGTAGATCGCGCTGTCCCAAACTCCCATTGCCCAGTCCCGCTTCCATTGGTACTACCAGCAAAAAAATACATTGTTTTGAAGCAGGATTATACGAGAGAGAAAAATATAGCAGGTGCCATTCTCACAGATCATTCTGGTTTAGTACAGAAGGTGCCTATATGAATCACATTTTGGTTATTCCTTGAATGTTTGTATCGTGATCCATGAACGTTATCTCATTTTGCCAGGGCTGCCCAATTATACAGTCCTTTGAAGAGGGGTTTGTAACAGAGGTCTGTTCAAAAAGCGCTTGTTTTTTATGGAGCAGTCTTAAATGATGCTTAGGATTTTCATTTGAAAACATGGGCTTTTTTTATACCTCTGACAGGAAAAGAATGCTGCTCGGGAATCTATGTCTTTTCCATATCTCCTTTGGCTCTTTTGTCAGGAAAATTCTCTTCAGCCTGTGGAACCATGGATCTAATCTGGACCATATTTCTGAAGTGCAAACGTTATTTTTTCTCAGAAAAACACGTATGTATGTGTATTTGGAAGTCTTCAGAAGTGTATCTTTAATTATCACTACTGGCTGCATATTGATTAGCTAAACTCTTCGATGCTCAGTTCATAGAATCATACAACCACAGAATGGTTTGGGTTGGAAGGGACCTTAAAGACCATCCAGTTCCAACCCCCCTGCCATGGGCAGGGACACCTTCCACTAGACCAGGTTGCTCAAAGCCTCATCCAGCCTGGCCTTGAACACTTCCAGGGATGGGGCAGTTCTTCTAAAAGGACTTTCACAGTGTGTCCAAAGGGCCCGACTGTGTCCAATCAGTGGAAGTACTGTCACCAAATTCATTAGGACAGTAGTGGGAGACAGTGGGAGCCTGTTGCCGACGGCAGCAATTCCTGCTTCCTGAAGCCTGGGAGGCTCTCACTTGCAACTGGACAGTCACACACTGAAAAGGCAGGAATGGCAGTTCAGAATTATTTGTGGGTTTGATATGAAACCACTGGGGGTCTTTTGGAAGGAACCCCCTCTCCAATATATTTTTTCTGAGCTATATTCACAAATCTGATGACTCTGTTGCTTTTCCTATTCTAGCAGTTCCTGTTTCATCCTAATTCCCAGTGCTTCAGGTATTCACATGAGGTGCAAGACACTAGTTCCAGGTCATCCTCTGCTGGGAAGATTTCAACTGTTGTTTTGTTCTCCCAAGAATGAGCTGCAAGTACTCATGCTAGGAGGATCTTCTGGGCATGTCTGTTGGCATCATGTGTCTTTAGGGAAATACTTAAGTACTTGTTGGAGCAGAGGGCCAGGTGTCATACCTCCCAGGTAGTTGTCTGGGCCAGTAGGCTTGAGTCATTTTTCCTTGTGGTTTACAATCAAAGTATTATTCAAATATTAAAAAAAACCCAACACCAAAACACAAAAACTTCAGGAGTGAGTGAGGAAACCTCCATTTTGGAAAACCCCACAGTTAGTTAGCACACACCCGTGAGAGGTAGGCCTGACAGAAGCCACCCTGCTTCACATCCCTGCTCCAGACAGAAGACCAGCTAGAATCTTGGGTCTCTTGCTTTCCCGCTGGACTGGGAGTGCCGTGACTTCCAATTCCCACTGATGAAAGAGCGCATTAAACCCTGCTCTGCCATGCTCACAGCAACAACGGGCAGCAAGGTAAAAGGGACTGGTACTGCTGGAGTAGTTGCAGCGCTTTTGTGACTCTAGTCCTGCTCTGAGCATAAGGATCAGATCTTTGGGCCTTTCGTTTTGTTTTATCAAGTCATAGAACCATAGAATCACAG